CTGGTCCCGGATGCCGCAGCCTGGGCCAGAGCTGTGGCTGCAATTTTTAGAGCTGGGGAACCTCACCTGAGCCACCACATGTCATCCCCCCACCCCAACACCCACCCCGAACCAAACCAGCATATTGTAGACATCTACCAGGCCTCTTGTCCCACAGGAGGACCCCTACATCAGTCCAGGAGAGGTTGGGGCTGCAATGAGAGGATGCTCAAAGTATGTCATGGGAGGTGGATGCAATGGGAGGAGCCCAACTCATCCCAGGAGTGGCTGAGACCCCAACACTCGCCAAAGATCCTGCACCCAATATCGCCCCACATCACTCTTCTGCAGTGCCAGTGTAGTCCCTAAAGCCCAGTTAAGTCTGTATGTGTTGGTGTCCAACTCTTTGGGTAACGCTCCCATTTCACCTTGCACACCATTTTCTTCCAGACCGGGTTTGACAGGACCCTCCAACCTCTGAAAACCATGGAAGTGCCCTGAGGGCAGCCACAGCTTGAACAAAAAATTCAGCTTTCTAAACCAATCCATGTGCCCTGAGAGCAGGAGAGCTTTTGGTCATGGCTCAACATTGGTGAAACATCCTCCAATCCATGTTGGAGACCTTGCTGTTGGTGAGGAACCCAGGAAAGGGTCAGGATCCTACCAGTCCATCTCCAGTCATCCATAGATGCAAAAGGCCTTATAGAGGTGTTCCCCTCTTGGAGCCACCTCGTGTCTGGACCCATGGTGACACCCGTACCCAGTGCCATGTCCTACAACTGCCATGACTGTGAGAAAACTTTTAAGAGAAGATCAAGTTTCACCCAGCACCAGCTAATCCACACAGAGGAGAGACCCTTCAGGTGTCAGGAGTGCGGGAAGGGTTTTACTCACAACTTCTATTTAACCCAGCACCAGCGAATGCACACGGGGGAGAAACCCTTCACGTGCCTGGAGTGTGAGAAGAGCTTTGCCACAAGCTCTGTGCTCATTGAACATCAACGCATCCACACAGGAGAGAAACCTTACATGTGTCCCCACTGCCAGAAGAGCTTCAGACACCGGTCCAACTTCTGGAGGCATCAACAGCTCTATACAGATGACCAAACCTGTAGCTGCTCCCAAGGTGAGAAGAAATCTGACAAATGCCAGCACTGCAGGGACGATTTTCTCAGCAGATCATCTATAACCCAGAAGCAGCAACTGCAAACAGTTGAGAGACCCTTCAGGTGTCAGGAGTGTGGGAGGAGTTTTCTTAACCAATCCAAGTTAACCCAGCACCAGCAAATCCACACAGTTGAGAGACCCTTCAGGTGCCTGGAGTGTGGGAAGAGTTACCTCCA